TTTGTGGAACCGGGGATTGAACTCAGGCCCTTACGCTTGCCAGGGAAGCGCTTATTCCACTGATCCATCTCTCCGGCCCCTATTTATTTTTCTACATTCTTAAAGATATGATATATAGATATAACTGTAATAATATCCTTGTCTACACAGTGTATCATTGAGTTCTACTTTAAGTCAATTTTACTATATTTTCTCTTTATTATTAATTTTAATAACAAAGAGAAAAATATATTTTCTCTTTATGATTAGTTTTAATGCTTGGTTGGCTTACTGTTCATATCTAAATTATTTTGTTTTGGTTTTCCTTGGGATTGAATTCAGACTTTGAGAATTTTATCTCAATGTGTACTTGATATTTTGGCATTCACGTAAATTATCTTATCTTTATATATTTGGAAATAACTTGATATCTTCCAAGGCATTCTTTTATACTTTGTTAGCGTATCTAACTAGGGCTAATTTTGTTCTGTTGCTGAGGTGAAGCCTTTCAGAATAACTGAATGCTCCATGAATGATGAAGTTTTCTACTATGAGTACGATGGCTGATAGCAATAAGCGTTATTCCCAACCAACTTTGAGCTCTTCTGATGATTCCCTTTAGTCCTTTTACACAGTTCTTTCCCTAACCTTGCATGATTTTTTATACATACCAGCAAAGTAGCACTCAGGTAGAGAAAGAAGAAAGCTCTTTGCTGATCTCCAAAGATTTACCTATGAGTATCTATAGCCTTTGTAGTATTTTCCGCTGTTACCTCTAGCCATTTTGGCATCTTTGGACTCACTTCTTTCTCAACTCAAGGAGACCACCTAGGTTTTGGAACATGCTACTCCCTTTGTCATAATTTGAACATTTCTCTAGACAAGAAACTGAAGAAATTGTAGGGCCAACCTATGTTTTATGATCTGTCACATATTATTTTTCTTCAGTGTGTGATGTCCATTATGTTTAAAACCATTCTTTCATATAGTTTATCTGTTTTTTAATGTTTTCAAGCACAAACTTAAACATGGTCCCTTTTGTTACAAATTAGCAAGTAGCAGAAGTCCAATACAAAGGATTTTAATGCAATTTAATCTTTTTATATATTGACAGTACACAGTTGTATAATATATTGTCACTTATGTATAATAATTTTAAATATCTAAAGAATGGAGGAGAGTCCTTGCTTCTTAACAACATAGTTTAATTGAAATTCATGATCATTTATCAAAATTTTCACTTTAATTAAAGCACTAAATATTCAATTTCATTTAGTCTGTTTATCTGCAAACTATAGAAGAAATGAAAAAGGGAATTCTATACATGTAGGGAAATTTTCTCCTAGTAAGCGTCTGTGAAAGTTATCACAAATCCAGTAGAAGAGTTATGGTTTCTCTTGATGATTATAAATCTAAAATATGGACATACCCACATGTAAGCTTGAATATGTACATGTACTTGTACATGTCCACAGTAAAAAGTCTGAGCTTACATTTCTATTCTAGGTAAGCTTTTCAAAACGGGTCTAGAAAGACACTTGTAAGACTTCCCCACTGGTAGAGTAAATGGAAAGATTAAGAGGTTGGTTGTTAAGATTTTAAAAGCTTGGGTTCAAATCTTAGCTACTGTAGTTTAATGTCTGCAGAATCTTGTTAAAATGCCTTAATTCTCTCCATGTCTCTGCTTTTTCTTCTCTAAAATGGAAATAACAAAAAAATGTGCATAATAACTTAGAATAGTATTTCCCTTGTAACAGATCATTCCTCATAAATCATAAACCTGCATTTGTGCAAACTGTTTATTTTTTTACTGATTTAGTAGCCTGAAGCATCTGAAATATAGAGTTACCTACATGGAAATTTCATTAAACATTAATTTTATGCTGTACAGTATATTCACAAACTATAGCTCTTAGATTAAGAACTGAGGAAAATTCTGATGCAAACAAATACATCCACTTCAATAGCTGATATGTCTTCCTACTTATCTTCTATAAGAAAAATTGTTATTGGGCATTTGTAGAGAGAAAGCTGATTATCATAAAAGAAATCTATGAAAATAATGTTAACTCATATAGTGATCAAGTGAACTGGTATGCAATCAGTTACCTTGAGCAAAAGCAAGACAGTACAAGTTACAAAATACACTAACATTGCCCTAACATTATGGTCTAATATTCTTTTAAGACTAAAAGAAAATGTTTTAATCATAGATTGATTTTAAATGAGATTAACAAACTTTACAGTTGTCAGTCAAACAATAATAATCACCATAAGATTAATTATTTAAAAGAGCTGAGTATTCTTGCTATTAATGAAAAAGCAGCATGTCCAGTTTAAAGCATGATGCTACTTCGTGAACAATGTTAAAAGTTAACAGCACTTTCTAAATAGTGTTGACATGGACAAGCATGAGGTCTCTAATCTTAAGAAGTTCCATTCAAGGGCTGGGGAGATGGCTCAGTAGAATAAGCACTTCCCTGGCAAGTGCAAGAGCCTGAGTTCAATCCCCGCTTCCAAAAAAAAAAAAAGAAGAAAGAAAGAAAAAAAAAAGAAAGAAAGAAAGAAAGAAAGAAAGAAAGAAAGAAAGAAAGAAAGAAAGAAAGAAGAAGTAAAAGAAATTCCATTCAATTGAAATCAGCCTTAAGAAGTAAAGAATAATTGTTTCTATGAACCATGTTAG